AGACACATGCAGGAGGCTCCCCAGCCTGCATCTGTCAGTGCTTTCATCTGCCTCGTCCTTCTCTCTAGCAGTTCTCCTGGAGCCTCGGGTGGCTTGAAGCATGGCTTTTACTTGACACTGCTCTCTTCCCCTCCCATCTCTCCAAGCAGCTAAGAATACTCTCGTGGACACAAAGGCCTTATTAATGCTCACTGTTGGGGGGGGGGGGGGGGGACGTGTCAGATCAACAACTGGCACTGTTAACAGGTAAAGATCATAAAGTTGGATACAATTTAAATTCGCATAAATCAAGAGGTCTGACTCAATTTTGACCCAGAGGTTTGCCTACAGGGTCCATTTAACCCTTGCTACTGCCGTTGGAGGCAGGTATATGCCCCCAGTGTGTAGAAGACAGGTGTAGAGAGGTTAAATTGACAAAGGTCAGAATGAGCCTGGCTCACTCCAAAGTCCCCACTTTGCCACCACTGTTCAGAAAAATCACACCAGTGAGGGTCCCTCCGACTGGGCTGTCCCCTGCTTGAAATAAGGATCCTGACTCTCCTCAAAGGGCCCGTAGTTAAACCAGACCAACTCTGACTGACTTTGTTCAGACTACTCTGAAGGCACCGTCTGCTGAACAGCACCCTCAGGGAAACATGCCTCACCCTGAGGATGGGACTGAGAGGCTGTAAAACGCCTGGTGAAGGGTGAAGCACAAGCCGACAACCCATTTCCCAGAAAGGGGAGGAAATTCGCGATTACTCCTGGCCAGCGGAGAACACACTCAGCTATAAATTCCCTACTGGAACTGCTTTCCCCCATTTCCCCAAATGCAAGCCAAGCTCCAGATTTAAGAAAGCTGGGGAAGGTCCCTTATTTAGAGCATGGTCCAAAGAGTTACAAGTGGTAAGGAGGACGGGGCGGTGGGGGTGAGGGGGTGGCTGTTGTGAGCACAGAGGTATTGTTTTCCTACCTGCCCTGTGAATGTTCCGAAAGTTCACCTAGCTAACAGTACAAAGGTTAGGGAGCGATTGATAAGTTGGGCACGAGGCCTGCAGCTGAGACTGCTGTAGTGTTTAAACGCTATGATGAGCAACCACAGGAAAGGAGAGGAGAGTGTGACCTGAAACATGGCATCACCGGTGAAGGGCTTTGTTGGGAAGCTAACTATGGCATCTTTCAACGGGAGACACCATCCAGAGGAAGCCTGACGTTTCAAACTCAGTTATACAATAAACGATGCTCCTCTCTGCACAATCCGCCATTACAATCAGCTACCTCTCCACGCTCCATCAGCTACACTGACCATGAGTGTTTCAAACTGCAGAAAGACATGTACTGGAGTTAGGAAGGAATACAAAAATCTGGCTAGTAGAGGCCCTGATTCCATCCTGAAATGAAGATTATATGTGGGAATGCATCAGGTGCACTCTCCATTTAGAGGATTTATTGCCAGTTCCTGAGATTTATAAAAGATTCCAAAATTGGGCACAGACCTTGGACTGTTTTCTGGAGGGGGTGACACACAAAGCAGAACTGCACTGGGCTCTGGCCATCGGTAACAACATCCTCTGGCTGTTCGTGGAGAAAGCTCTGGGAGGGTGGAAGCTCTGGGCAGAGGAGTTGGTGCATCAGAAAGCTCAGAGGAGGCTCCTCCAGGACCAGACGTGCCTACCGTGGCCCCTGCCAGCAACACTCAAGTGAATGAAATTTTCTGGCTTTGAAGCCAAAGGTGCTCCTAGATTGGCACACCACATCTATCAGGGTCCAAAGTAAACCATCTACGGTCCAGAATGGTCACCTCTAGAAGAGACTTAACAGTATTCTTCTCTGGCAAAGAGATTTCAGTCTTCACGGGCTATGGCAGAAGGTGGTGAGGGAGAGCAGGCCTTGCAGTGGTTATTGCATACCACTGCTCCCTGCAGCTGTATAAGAACATGGTCCATAGACATGCTGCCTTAGTATGGTAAGGCCAGTCCCTCCTCAAACATGGATGTGGGGATTCTTAAAGAAGTCCATTGTTTCCTTAAAATAGAAAGACAACCTAAATCAAAGATGCCATAACCCCTAGCTAGTCTGGCTCAGTGGATAGAGCATGGCCTGCAGACTGAAGAATCCTGGGTTCAATTCCAGTCAAGAGAACATCCCCAGGTTGCTAGACCAATCCCCAGTAAGGGGCCTGCAGGAGGCAGCTGATCAATGATGATTCTCTCTCTCTCTTTCCCTTCCTCCCTCCCCCCCTCCCTCACTCTCTCTCTCCTCCTTCTTCTCTGAAATCAATAAAAATACATTTTTTTTAAAAAGATGCTATAAAAATCCTGTTTTGATCTATTAGTTGACAACTTAGACATATTACCTTACCCTCTGAGTTTCAAGTTCTTCACCCCCAAAGGCACAGGGCGCTCTCTATATAGGACTGCTATGAAGTTAACCCACACAGTACTCAGCACAGGGGCTGGCCCACAGTGAAGAGAGGCATTCATTCAATCAGAGGTCCACTCTGTACCAATCCAGAGTCACAACTGTATACAGTATATTTATCTGTTATATACAGTATTGTAAATGCTTGAAAATTATTTCTCAACACACATTTATTAGACATAAGTTCTATGAAGACTGAGACCTTTTCTATTTTATTGTTATAACCCAAATATTAACTAAATTATCTGTTATATGAACACACTGATAAACAAAGTGGAGATGCGACACTATTTGGAACAATTGTATATATTTACTTGTAGGATTGTGTCCAGGAATTGATGTAAAGGAGCATTTCTTAGAAGTTAGGGGCCACACTGCTTTGTGTGCCATTATTAATGCCTGGTGCCAGCACAGTCTCTGGTACACAGACCCCTAACCCAGGGGATCTCAGACATCTTGGTCTCAGGACTCCTTTGATGACCCCAAAGAGCTTTTGTTTATGTCAGTTATACATATATATACTAGAGGCCAGTGCACTTGGGGTCCCTTGGCCTGGCCTGCGGGGTTGGGCCAAAACTGGCTCTCTGACATCACCTGAAGGGTCCCAGATTGCAAGAAGGTGAGGCCAGGCTGAGGGGCCCACTGGTGCACTATCAGGAATAAGTACCTAGTGTGTATCTTTACCTCAAACCTAGTTTCTCAAATAAACCCTTGAAAAGAATGGGCCAAAATCAGTTGCAGCAAAGGAGTAGTTAACATTTAGCCATTTGTTTTCTATAGTTCATGTTATTAACTATACTTCCTGATTCATATGAGCTGTTATTTAACATTTAAAATTTCAGCTACCACTCATCTAATCCACGTAGAGGGTGTTTTGCAGAAGATCTGCTAGGACTGTGGAAGAATTCCGGGTAAATTACATGTATTATCATTTACTCCCCACAAATATCTATGAAATACTATTATTTCTTTCCCATTTAATAGGTGAGAAAACTGAAGCTCAAAAAGGTTCAATAACTTGCCTAAGGTTACACAGGTGGTACGTGAAGCCAGACTGTGAAACCAGGTCGGTGGTGTTCAAATGCTGCTGCGGTGTTCGTTGTGTGGAGCTCAGGGAGCTGTATATTGATGATATGTGCAGTTTTCTGTGTGACTATTACACTTCAGTAAAATGTTGGAAAAAAGAAAAGAAAAGAAAAGAAAAAGACCATGGCCTTTTCTACTCTATCTGAGTGGGAATCAATGGGACAAAATTAGTACGAAGTAGAGCAGAAGGGCCAAGTAATGAGTTAGGGGCAGGGGCCCTGATGTTACTGCCTTAACTCCTCAACACTGATGGGATTATATTTAATGAATGGAATACTGAATTGAATGAATGGATTCTTTATTAGGTCTCTTCCACTCTTATGCTCATCCTCCAAGGACACGGGCTCAGAGAGATGGTATAAATTACAACCCACCCCTGTGTGCCTGAGCCCTCCACAATAAGGCCGGAGGCCTAGAGTAGATTAAAAACTAGTAACGATGATACTAATATGTACCTATTCATTTTATCATTTTTTTGTTAGGTTCTTCTTCACCATTAAAAATATGTATAAGCAAGTAAAAAAAAAAAAAAAAAAAAGCTCAGAGGATAGAGTGTCGTCCTGCAGACTGAAAGGTCCCGGGTTTGATTCCGGTCAAGGGCATGTACCTTGGCTGCGAGCACATCCCCAGTGAGGGGGTGTGCGAGAGGCAGCTGATTGATGATTCTGTCTCATCGATGTTTCTAACTCTCTATCCCTCTCTCTTCCTCTCTGTAAAAAAATCAATAAAAAATATATTTTAAAAAATGTATAAGCAAGTAGAATACCCATAAGTTTTCTACTTTGCTGGGTATTAAATTCCCCTGCAGGCCTGATATTTTAGGAGAGCTTCTCCCAGAATCTGCCACTGTATATTTAGAAATCTTAAATGACTTTATCACTAGCCTTTAAAAGAAAGCCCTACTACATTAATCATTTTAAAGTTAAAATTCTTATGGCATATTCATGATATGATTCAGCTTAAGGCAGTGCCAGTATAAAACCAGATTAAAGGGATGGAATAAAGATTCTGTGCTGGCTGTCAGGAACTAGTCTTGTCACTAACTAGTTATCTTGTACAAGTAACTTAATATGTAGGTATTCCCTTCCCTTTTCAGTAAGATGGAGAAATTGAGCTAGGTGATTTTTAAATTGAATTTATTGGCATGATACGGTTAATAAAATTATATAGGTTTCAGGTATACAATTCTATAATACATCATCTATGGTATATTGTGATGTTCGCCACTCCAAGTCAAGTCTCCTCAGCATTTATCTCCCCTTTACTCTCTCCTACCTCTCCCTAACCACCTTTCCCTTTGGCAAACACCATATATTGTGTCTAGGAGTTTTGTTTTGTTTTTAATCACTTTACCTTTTCTTCCAGCCCCTCCCCTGTGACAGCTTTCAGTCTGTTCTCTGTATCTATGAGTCTATTTCTACTTTGTTACTTTATTTTGTTCATTAGATTCACATATAAGCGAAATTATATGGTATTTGTCTTTCTCCAACTGGCTTATTTCACTTAGCATAGTATTCTCCAGGCCTACCCATGCCGTTGCAAAAGGTAAGATTTTCCATTATGTAAATGTACCACAGCTCTTTTATCCACTCATCTACTGATGGGCACTGGATTGCTTCAAAATCTTGGCTATTTTTTAAAACATTTTAAAAATTGATTTTAGAGAGAGGAAAGGAGAAATATCAATGATAGAGAAACATCATCTATCTGTTGCCTCCTGCATGCTGCCCATATGGGATTGAGCCCATAACCTGGGCATATGCCCTAATCAGGAATCAGACCAGTGACCCCCTGGTACATGGGTAGATGCTCAACTACTTATCTACACCAGCTGAGCAAAATCTTGGCTATTACAAAAATTATGCAGCAATGAACGTAGGGGTGTGTGCATGAAATTAGTGCACAGAGGGGCAGGTGTCCCTCAGTCCAGCCTGCATCCTCTCTGGGACCCCTCTCACAATCCAGGACTGCTGGCTCCCAACTGCTCACCTGCCTGCCTTCCTGATTGCCCCTAACCGCTTCTGCCTGCCAGCCTGATCACCCCTAACCATTCCCCTGCCAGTCTGATTGATGCCTAACTGTTTGTCCCTAACTTCCCACCCCTGCAGGCCTGGTCACCCCTAATTGCCCTCCCTTGCAGGCCTGGTCCCTCCTAATTGTCTTCCCCTGCTGGCCTGATCACCACAACTGTCCTCCCTTACAGACCTGGTCCGTCTCAACTGCCCTCCCTTGCAGGCTTGGTCCCTCCCAACTGCCCTTCCCTGCTGGCTATCTTGTGGTGGCCATCTTGTGTCCACATGGGGACAGCCATCTTTGACCACATGGGGGCAGCCATCTTGTATGTTGGAGTGATGATCAATTTGCACATTACTCTTTTATTAGATAGGATTAGTGTTTCAGGTTTCTTTGGGTATATTCTCAGAAGAGGACCAATGGGTCAAACAGCAGTTCCATTTTTAATTTTTTTGAGGAAACTCCATACTGTTTTCCACAGTGGCTTCACTAATCTGCATTCCCACCAGCAATATATTAGGGTTTCTTTTCTCCACATCCTTGACAGCATTTGCTGTTTGTTTATTTATTTATTTATTTATTTATTTATTTATAATTAATTTTTTTACATATTTTAATGATTTTTTTGCCCCCCTCCCTTCCTCCCACATATCCCCTCCCTCCCCAGAGTTTTATGTCCATTGGTTGTACTTATATGCATGTATACAAGTCCTTCAGTTGAATGCTGTTTGTTTATTTATTGATGACTAGAGGGGCCTGGTGCATGAAATTCATGCATGGGGGTGTGGGAGGGAATCCCTTCAGCCCAGCCTGCTCCCTCTCCAATCCGGGACACCCCTCTCACAATCCGGGACCGCTGACTCCTAACTGCTCACCTGCCTACCTGCCTGATGGCCCCTAATTGCCCCTCCTCCCCCGCCAGCCTGATCACTCCTAACCACCTCTGCCTGTCAGCTTGATCAGCCCTAACTGCCCCCCCCCCTTGCCGGCCTGGTCATCCCCAACTACCTCCCCCACCAGCCTGGCCTCCCCAACTGCCCCCCTTTGCTGGCCTGGTCGCCCCCAACTGTCCCTGCTCTGGCCTGGTCACCCCCAACTGCCCCCCTTGCCAGCCTTGTCGGCCCACGCAGCCTGTGTTTGGTTGTCCATCTGGTTGTTTCAGATGTGATGGCCCCTGGCTTTTATATATTAGGATAGTCATTCTGACAGATGTGAGATGATATCTAATTGTGGTTTTAATTTGCATTTCTCTAACGATTAGTAACATTGAGCATCTTTTCATATGTCTATTGGCCAGCTATATGTTCTCTTTGGAGAAGTATCTATTTAGGTTCTTTGGAAATTTAAAAAATTATATTGTTTGTGTGTGTGTGTGTGTGTGTGTGTGTGTGTGTGTGTGTTGAGTTGTATAAGTTCTTCATAAATTTTGGATATTATCACCTTATAAGATGTGTCTTTGGCAAATATGTTCTCCCATTCAGTCAGTTGTCTTTTCATTTTGTTGGTTTCCTTTGCTGTGCATGCTAGATGTTTCTAAGGTGTTTTTTTTGTTGTTGTTGTTGTTTTTTTAATATATTTTATTGATTTTTTACAGAGAGGAAGGAAGAGATATAGAGAGCTAGAAACGTCGATGAGAGAGAAACATCAACCAGTTGCCTCTTGCACACCCCCTACCGGGGATATGCCCGCAACTAACGTACATGCCCTTGACCAGAATTGAACCTGGGACCTTTCAGTCCGCAGACCGACGCTCTACCACTGAGCCAAACCAGTTTCGGCGATGTTTCTAAGGTTTATTCAAGATCAAACACTCTACAATTCTGAGGTGCCTCAAAAATAATTTTATTAAATTCTCACCTACACGTGGCTCAATACTAGACATTGAAATCCTCTCATGAAAATTAAGGAGCCCAATTAGGGCACAGAACATGACCATCTTTGACACAGTGGTAAGCAAATGGAGTACTTTGCCCAAATGTACAAATGGGCAAAGTTATGATGTTCCTTCAAAAACATTTGGGCCTCCTCCAGTTTCTAGACATCTGTCAATCTTGTTAGAGGCCATGATTCTGGCCATGATAATATTAGCTCTGATGGATTCTTACCTGGCCAAGTGGTTAGGCAAAGACAACAGAACCAGGGGACAAAACAGGGAAGCCAAGCAAAGGATTTATGACATTAGAAGCCATTGAAAAGGTCTCTTTAAAGCACAGAGTGCTTTACCCTGGCTCTTTTATCTGTTCATCTACTGGGATGTCTGGGTTACTATGACATAGATTGCAATTCTCTAGAAAACAGGAAATCCTATTTGATTATTAAGTCAAAAGCAGAAAATAGAGTGAAACAAGGCTAATCTCAGAGATAGAGAGGCAATATCTTCCTATTACAACCACGATGTAGAAGTTGTATGACCATGAATGAGTTTCTTCACATCCCTAAGCCTTAGCTACCTGTTAAATTGATTATTAATAGAAGTTAATGAAGAGAGTTCTTGTGAGGAACAAATGGGAAAATACTTGTCACAGAGCCTGATAGAAGGTAATATTCCTATTCTATCCCAAAGTCTTTTCATTTCTGCATGGGCATCTGCTAAGAAGTTACCTGTTTGTCTAAGAAACGATGATTGCCTATATATGCCTTCCTTTTGTGGAATTCCTACCCCAGGCCATGAGATCTCTGAATGCTCAGTAAGGATTTACTAAAGGAATACTTAATAAGTCACATAACAATACCAAGGCACAGTTATCATCCAAGTAGACCTTTTGGGGCCTTTTCTGCTGTATGCCAGTTCTTTGTTTGTTTGTTTGTTTGTTTTGTAATTAACAAAAGGAAGGATTTTGCTCTGAGGATCAACAAAGACAATGACAATTCTGCATCAACTTTTTGACTTTGGGCAATTTATTTAACCTGTGCCTCAGTTTCTTCTTCTATAAAATGTTGCTAACCACAATATTTGGTTTTAAACATGAATTGCCTGACACATGGCACTTAATTGGTGTTGGCTATATTATTTTAAACCTCTTGTGAAATTTTCCATTACTATGTGATCAATGAAAACCTGAGCCTACCATAAATTTATCGTTACCAGGTCCTACTGACTGTCAGGGTATCTTAAAATATTTAAATCCCTGCCTCATTGTCTTATTCCCTTCGCCTAAGTCGGCCATGGAATCTGCATTTTCAATGAACCCCCTGAGTGAGTCCCAGCCCAGGCTCACTGAACTGGCAAATACTACCCTGGAACATGCTAAAGAAACCGGATCAAATGCTGGGTGATTCCCCTCTCCCTCCGAGAGACAGATTTATGGTTTGGGTAAAAACCATTAAGACACGTTGGTTTTTTTCATTGGTTTCACTTTGAGTTTCTGCCTCCTGCAACACAAAGTGAGATCACACAGAGCCTGGCAGTTTGGGTCTTCACCTCCCACGTGAGGTGAAGTGCCATGTGACCAGAAAGCTTAGACCCGAAACCAGAGGAAGACACAAGTCATGGGGAAATCTCTCTACTGTTTTCTTTTTCCTTTAAAAAAAAAAAAATATATATATATATATATCTTATTGTTTTTTTACAGAGAGGAAGGGAGAGGGATAGAGAGTTACAAACATTGATAAGAGAGAAACATTGATCAGCTGCCTCCTGCACATCCCCCACTAGGGATATGCCTGCAACCAAGGTACATGCCCTTGACTGGAATCGAACCCGGGACCCTTCAGTCCGCAGGCAGACGCTCTATCCACTGAGCCAAACCAGTCAGGGCTCTACTGTTTTCTTTTCCTTTTTTCCTTCTTATTAAGAGAAAGAATTACAACCCCCCAGAGATGTGAGTGACAAATAGAAAAGGCACAAATTGCGTTTTCTCCAGGGAAAGCTTACCAGATGTGAGTCAATGTACAAAGTCAGGGCTCCAATCTCAAAGGGTGTGGCCTCTTCAGTACAGAATTTAGGAAAAAATGGGACCTGAAGCACCCTGGGGGTGGTCTATAAGCAAATACTGATTATAATGATCTCAAACGTTTAAAAAGAGATAATGAACAGAAAGTAGCCTTCTGTACAAGATAAAATGAACTAGACCACCAAAACGCTCAGACAGGCTCTAACAACAGAAGTCAATGAGATAGAATGGTTTAAAATTATGCAAAATTCATACTGTGTTCAAACCAGAGCAGCAATTGTGATGGAAAATCACCCAGATGGAAGTGTCCATATTTCTTACCTATTTCTAGCAGCATCTTATGCCACATAAGCACTTAATAATTATTAATCAAACATTACTATCATCAACTCATAAAGCATACTAATAAAAACATGGGAATATTGTAAACCCCTACCAAAACACTTTTAAAATACCATTTACAATAGCATTAAACTTTGTAAAGTTCCTAGGAATATATATATTAATATATATTATTATATGTTATATGTACATATAGAAATATATTTTGCAAATATCATATGTACTTTTATAAAGAAAATTTAAAAACTTTCTTGGGACATTGTAAAGGTTATAAATAATCAGAGAAATCCACATTCATGAACTTACTATGTGCTAGACACTATTCTAAGTACTTTATACGTATTATATGTTACCATTTAATAATTAAATCCTCTCAATTATCTTATAAGGTAGGTACTGTTATGATCCCTATTTTATAAGTAAGGAAACTGAGGCACATTAAGATTAAATAAACTCTCCAGGGTCATGCGACCAATGAGGAGTGGAGCCAGGATCTGAACTCAGGAAGCTGGACACCATCCTTCTAAAGATTCTGGCCCAACTGGTCTGGCTCAGTGGTTGAGTGTCAACCTATGAGGCAGGAGGTCACTTCAATTCCTGGTCAGGGCACATGCCTGGGTTGTAGGCTGGATCCCCAGTGTGTGCAAGAGGCAGCCAATCAATGATTCTCCCTCATCAATGATGTTTCTATATCTCCTTTTCCCTTCCTCTCTGAAATCAATAAAAATATATTTAAAGAAAACAGGGTAACCAAATGACCAAAAGCCTTATTATTAATCAGAGAAAAGCAAAATAAAACCACGAGACTGGCTGGTTTGGTTCAGTGGTCAAAGTGTTGATTCCTGGTCAAGGGCTCTGTTCCTCAGTTGCAGGTTCAATCCCCCGCCCTGGTGGGGGTATATGGAGGAAGTAATTTCTCCCTCTCCTCTCCTCTCCTCTCCTCCCCTCCCCTCCCCTCCCCTCCCCTCCCCTCCCCTCCCCTCCCCTCCCTTCCCCTCCCCTCCCCTCCCCTCCCCTCCCCTTCTCTCCTCTCCTCTCCTCTCCCTCTCTTCATTCTCTCTCTAAAGATCAATGGAAAAAATATCCTCAGGTGAAGATTAAAAAACACACAAAACATAATGAGACACTGTATTGCATTCACCAGATAGACAACAATTAGAAAGCCTAACAATATCAAACTGTGGTGAAGATGTAGAGCAATAGAGCTCTCCGAAATGCAAACTGGAACACTTTGGAAAAACAGTTTGGAATTATAGCATCAAGTTAAACACTCAAATACCCTGTGGCCCTACAATCCATTTTCACATATACCTTCAAAACCTATTGCACATCCATACAGGATGTGTGTGTGTGTGTGTGTGTGTGTGTGTGTGTGTGTGTGTGTGTGTACACCAGCCTTTTTCATAAAAGTCAAAAGCTGGAAACAGTTCAAATACCCATCAACAGTAAAATAGATTAATGCACCGTTGCAGCACGGAGGAATACTAAACAGTGAAAAACCCATAACCACAGCTATAGGCATCAACGTGGTTAATTAAGTCTTGCAATCATATTGTTGATAATAACAAATAAGTAAAAAGTGTTACATACTGAACACTTGCAAAACTAAGTGATGTAATTTAAGTATATCCATATAACTGTAGGCTTCCTATGTAGAAAAGAGAAAGGTGGTTTTGAAAGTAGAGAGGGTTCTAAGGCAATGTTTTATTTCTCAATCTGACCGGGTTTATAAGAGTGTCCACTTGCCAATTATTCATTCAACCACAGATACCCATCTATTTTCCACATTCTTCTGCATGTATGCTGTAGTTCTAATCTCTGATTATCCTCTTAAGAGAGTGCAAGTCATCTTCCCCAATAGAAGAGAAATGCCTTTTAAAAAGAAAGGTGCACACAAACTTCCAAATTTAAAAATTCAAAAATATATTTCAGAAGATAATCCATTAAAGGCAGCTAGAATGTTCAATTATAAGGAATCCCAAATAGAAGCAACAACTCACCAAAAACTGATTTTACTGCCATTTCTATAAAAGTTAAAGATGGAGCCCAATCATTAACATTGATGTTGGTTGGTAGCAGAAGCAGTACCATTGAAATGATTAGAGAAGCAGTAAGAAATGCAGGGCAGAGCCAATACTGAGGGTGTTTTAGTCACATTTTAAACACAAGTTATAATATTTAAGAAAAGCAATATAACAATACTTTTTATTTAATAATTCTAAATTTCGTCATCTTCATCTTTTTCATTTAAAAAAAATAATTAAGAGCCCTTGCCCAACCATAAGACTTTCCACTCTTACTGCAACTAAGTACAAAACTAAGAGAAGTACAATTATTTCCCCAAATGTCTAAAATGACACTAAGATGGCAAATAGATTTCTACTTATCGGAGTTTTCTGAAATCAGTTTTGCATTTGTTTTTACTAGGAAGCCACTTAAATTTTACCCACTTGTTTAACTTCAGAGGATTGAAACAAAATGTTTGCTGGCTAAACAAAAACAGTGGTTTTAAAATTCTTCACTTGGGCTGCTGGATAAAACACTTGTTTACTGAATCAAATGTTTTATTTAGAAAGCGCCTGCCAGAGTGGACACTATCCAAGGAATACACCAGGATGTGCTAGGATGGTAATGTCACACCCTTGATGGAAGCTGGCATTTTAGGGCAACTTCATGAAGTTTACTGTCAAAGAATAGAACAATAAAAACAAAACAAAACTATCTGTTAAAAAAAAAATCAACCCAAGGCCTAAAATGCTCTTACTAGATCATTAAATTAGGGCACTCATTTAATGATCTAGCTAATCTCTTTATATAATTAAGCAAATCTTATAAATAGCATTTAAATAATTATTATTACTTCTATTTTAGAGCCAAGCCTCTCCCGTTAGTTAGCTTTATTCTGTACCTTCTTGTTCTCCTATGTGGCATGGCATGAAAGGCCATTTCTATCTCTTAATAGGATACACTAGAACCCTGAAATGCCATTAGTAGCCACAAAATAGAATTGAACAAAAGACAAGTCTAACTTGAAAGCCATCCAAGAAGATTTACTTTCTTAAGTACCAAAAGGAAACACCCTAAAAGATAGCCTTGGGACCCTGTGGTTAGTTTCATATGGAGACCGCAGTAAATGAATTATATTTGACCAAATCAGATTTGCTTAAGAATTTTCATCAGTAGTTTCTTGCTAATATTAGGCAAATAAATAAAATGGATCATGATTATAGTAATCGTTTCCAAATTTTAAAAAGCATATCCCTCATATTTAAAAAACATTATGTATTTTTATTTATTAACTATATACTGCTATTAGACATAATAAAACATATAGTAGGCCTTGGTCAGGAGCTCAGTTGGTTAGATATTGTGCCAATGTGCCAGGGTTGTGGGTTCGATCCCTGTCAGGCACATACAAGAAAAAACCAATGAATGCATAAATAAGTGAAACAACAAATCGGTGTTTCTCTCTTCCTCCCTTAAGTAAATAAATAAATAAATAAATAAATAAATAAATAAATAAAAATATATAAAATGGACAATCAAAGGACTTAATGAATAGTTCTCTTAAGATGACATACAATTGACCAGTAAGCACATAAAAAGATGCTTCACATCGTTAGTCATCAAGGGAATGAAAATCAAAGCCACAAGAAACCACTTCATATCCACTAGGATGTCTATGATGAGAAGGAGAAGGAGAAGGAGAAGGAGGAAGAGGAGGAGGAGGAGGAGGAAGAGGAGGAGGAAGAGAAGACGACAACGACGATGACGAAGACGAAGACAGGGGCTGGCAAAGATGGGGAGAAATTGTAACCCTTGTACATTGTTAGTGGGAATGGAAAACAGTGTGGCAATTCAGAATGTTAAACACGGAGTTACCACACAGCCCAGCAATTCTACTCCTAGGCATATACCCCCAAAAACCAGAAACAGGGATTTGAACAGGTACTTGTACAGCCATGCTATATAAATTCACAGTAGCATTATTCAAAACAGCCAAAGTATAAAAACAACCCAAATGTCCATCAACACAGGAATGGATAAACAAAATGTGATTACCGGTACATAGACAATGGATTATTACTCACCCACAAAAAGAAATTAAATACTCACACATGCTACAACATGAATAAACTGAACACATTATGCTACGTGAAATAAGTCAGATCCTAAAGGACATATATTGTGTGATTCCACTTATATGAAATATCTAGAATGAGCCAAAAAGACAGAAAGGAGATGAGAGGATAAAGGTAAGCATGGGAAATTATGGCTTAATCGGTATAAGGTTTCCGGTGGGGTCATAAAAATTTGGAAATTGATAATAGTGATGGTTGTTCAAAATACCTAATGTAATCAATGTTACTGAATTATATTCTTAAAATAATTATAACACCAAATTTTGTTATCTCTATTTTATCACAATTTTAACAAAGTAAAAAAAAAAAAAAAAAAAAGTACAAACTAGAAATACAATAGAGGCCCTAATACTTTCTTTTCTCATTCTAGTGGGTCACCTTGCATGCTGCAAGACTAGGGTGGGGCGAGGGAAGAGCATTCAAAGCCACGCCAAGAATTAGTGAATGGGATTTAGGTAGGGTAAGGGGAATTTGGGGGAGACAACAGGATGTGAGTTTTGGTAATGTCTACAACTCAACAGGAATTTCATTTTTAATCCCAAAGGAAAGAGCACTCCTTTCTGCAACCTTCCCATGGAACTAAGTGCAGACCATCTGTGAGTTCTCACCATACCTCACTCGGCTGACGTGGAGATCAGAATTACTGCAAAAATACCAGGAAAGGCCTCTTCCATTCTACTACAAAGTGTTCAAGCACCACCTTACAAAACAGACTGTGTGCTTGCTCAATCGTTTTATGGACTCAGGTAAGACCCAAGTCCAACTTAAAATACTCCTTTTCAAAGCTGCTTTCAAAGTCATTTTCATCACTTTCCCCCCTTCAGGCTCAAGAACATCAATCATGGCGAAAGTGACAGGAAATAATAAAAAGATTAACAGCTCAACATCAAGAAGCACCTATGTACTGCCTATGCGGAAAGTGTCGAATGTGAGGCTGGCTGAGGACCAAGGTAATCAGAAGCAAAATACACATGAGTCTGGGGCTGACATTTCAGGAGGCAGAAGGCCCTGCCAAACACAGAAATGACAAAGCAAAAGGGAATGGCTGTAGAACCATCTATGTCTGTGCTAACATGCAGCACAGAAATGTCCTACGTTTATCATAGCTTCATTGCAAACAGGCCCATGTAGACTGCGGGATGGTTTGATTTTAAAAGTAGGAGTTTTTTTTGTGTTTTTTTTTCCTTGTAAAATGTAAAAACTCAGTTTAAAAAAAATAAAAATTGAGATATGCTAGACTTCCAGGGTCACCTGACCTTGCATGTTTTATAGACTTGTGATGCAGGAATATGAATTAATGACCACTGTCTTTTGGGAAATCAGTTGAAGCTCATAGCTACACTACATTAGGAAGGACAAAGCCTTCTAAAACTACCTAAGAAATAGTTAATTCATACCCTTCAAATAGTTCACATGATTGACTACCAAATTAATCCTCTAGAGAGGGTTCTCATATGAAATACTGTATTTCTATACCAGTAGAGCACAAAGTATTCAAAGTCTGCTTCTAAACAGACTAGGTCTATTATCTAATCACTATGAAGCACAGCTGGAATCAATACAAAATAATCTTCAAAGTAATTGTTATTGTAAAATAAAAAAAATTAAAAAAAACGCCCAAAAAAAGAACCCATTCAGAATGCCAAAAAGTCAAATATATCAACTTACCTTGTGCTATCAATATATTTTGATTTGTGTACAATACACAAAATTGTCCTTAAAAAAACCCAGAATTAGTCACTTACATTGGGAGTGCATGTGTGCATGTGTGAATATGCCAGTATTCATACAAAAGAAACTATCTTCCGAGTTCATGGTGAAACTCTCAATGGCCCATGCCTGGTATTACTTCCATTGGTAATTAACTCCCCCCACGAAACCTTGTCTTTTAAAAGATGAGTCCTCTAAACACAGAGAAACATATATCATGAATATCCCTGCTTTAAAAAAAAATTATTCAGTTTTAGTTCCAACACTCAGAGTGTTTCAACACTCTTCTCACAAGGCCCTCGAGCATGCTATATTGAAAAAAAAAAAAAGTTGCCAAACTGGTTTTAACACATCTTCTCAGGACCGATAAGCAAAAGTTTACTAAACCAGCTTTGAATAAGGTAAACTCAGAAGGATTCTATACGTTCTTTTCAAAGTGGACAGCACTTTTTAAAGGGAGGCTTGTTACATAAGCTGCAAACTTCAGAAGCAGGAGGGATGAATGAAGGCATGTCTCCTTGAGTAAAGCATGAACCCACAACTTCTTTGGAACTGCAGTTGACATCCTGTTGGACCGACTAACTTCAAACCTGTTTTGTGGGTATTATGAGTGACTGAGTGCAAACAGTAAGGGGTTATGAAAATAAATTTTCTAATGTATAAAAAAAAAGGGGGGGGGAGTGAGCCATAGATTTGGGTTTACTATGAACTCTGATGAACACCAAAAATGCTTCCAATTTTTCTTGTTAATCTTAACTACTTTACCTTAAAAAAGGTTTTATTTAATGATGTGATCATTTATATCACAATAAACTTAGAGGTTCTTGCTCATGTAGAATCTTTATTGTTGTGTATACCCATATTTTCATAAAAATATGTATTTCACTAGAAAAACTAGGAGATAACAGCAGCAAATATTACCTGCCCCTCAGTGTATGTCAGGAAAATATTTCCACAGCATATACAACAACAAACTCTGGAAACTCTAGGAAATTGTGTAAATTAAATTCTGTAAATTCACATTTGACTGAGCACCTTCTCTCATTCTACACTCACAGCTACAAGAAAACTTTAAAATCTGTATCAAGATTCTAGCACTACTTCTGGCTTCTTAAAAAAATCTCAAGCACAAAATTGTCTTCTCTGCACCATTAGCTGCTGTGGATGGGTGCGCTTGGGCAAGCCCATCGTGCAAGAGCCATCCACCTGCCTTCTCTCAGCAGAATGAGCTATTTGCACTTAATACTATTCTCTCTCATTCAGTTTTTTTGTGTAACCTGGGTTTCATTTTCTGATGTTTTTAGAATACCCCCTAATATTCTAAAAGAATTAAAAAACTTAAATTCTATTACACAACAAAGTGATTGTCTTAACTGTACTGAACTGCACACTTAAAAATTGTGAAGACAGCCAAAACCGGTTTGGCTCAGTGTATAGAGCGCCAGCCTGTGTACTGAAAGGTCCCAGGTTCGATTCCGTTCAAGCGCATGTACCTTGGTTGTGGGCATATTCCCAGTAAGGAGTGTGCAAGAGGCAGCTGATCGATGATTCTCTCTCACCGATGTTTCTAACTCTCTATCCCTCTCTCTTCCTCTCTGCAAAAAATCAATAAAATATAGTTTAAAAAAATGGTGAAGACAGTAAATATTATGGTATATATTTTATCACAGTGAACTAAAAAACAAACTAAATTCTATCATCTACTGTAGATTCTACAAGAACATCCCCAGTTGGCTACAACAGTTAGAGACTTAGGAAAATGGAGAGTTTAAATTCTGTATGGGAGTGGGGGGAGTAGGGGTTGCTGCCCCTACACCCTCTACCATCAATTTTAATCATTAGTTTCTGTCTGCTGGTCTGCCAGACACATAGTAATATGGACATGTGAATTTGTCTCTTTACAGGTTCTAAACAAGAAAGGAAACGAGCAAATGATCTTTTGTAGCCAGATCATTGGCATCAGGCTAACTGAATTTGGCCGTGACAAACGTTCACTGCTGCTCAGTAGGAAAGACGTTTGTTTTTCTGACAATAAAGAAATATATAGATACACAGACAGACAGGTCTTCCTTGAGAGAGGTGAATAGTCATCACCCTTCAAAAATCCAACCCCTCTCTCCTGACCATTCATTTCTCTCTAACCTAGAACACTCTGGGGTTTATAGCCCAGAACTTGCCTTCCCTTACTCAGCTCCCTTGGAGAGGACCAGCCAGTCTCCTCCTGAGAATACTGCCCAAGGCCACACCCTGGGTCTGCGCAGCCAAAGGTGCAGGAAGTGGTCTGCCCAGGGCCTGGGATATTGCATCATCCTCAACATGCTTCGATGGACACAGTGTGAGTCACTCAGCACACACGTAGCACTTCAGCCCATTCCTTCCCACCTAGCAGGACAGAGGACTTTTGACACATCCATCCAGGCTTCCAAACTAGTGCTAAATTTGGAAAGCAGCAGGTCATCTGGATATAAACAACTTAAAGCACTGCCTATCAATGACTGTCCATCAGATACAAAGCAGGCTGAAACCAAGTCATGAAAAGTAAGAACTCTTGTTCTCTCCAGGGGAGACAGAAGGTTCAGTGGGAGGTGTCAGACAGTGGAACAAACTGGCTAAGGCACTGGGTCCCCCAGAGGACTCCACACCAGACTGACCTGTAAAGCTTATTAAAAATCCAGCTGGCATGGCTCAGTGGATGGACCATTGTCCCATGCACCACAGAGGTCACTGGTTCTACTCCCAGTCAAGGGTATATGCCTGGGGTTCAGCAGGCTCGATCCCAGTAGGGGGTGTGCAGAAAGCAGCTGATTTATGTTCCTCATGGATGTCTCTAACTTTTGTTCCTCTCCCATCCTCTCTCTCTCAAAAAAAAAAAAAAAAAAAATCAATAAAACATATTTTAAAAACATTTTTAAAAAATGTAGACTGCAAAAACAAAACAAACAAAAACAACAACAAAAAACACTAAACACAAAAAACATAAACAAACAAAACAGACTGCCAGCCAAGGATATTGTGATTCAGTGCCTGTGGGTGGGACCCATTAATCTGATGCACCAGGTTAGGGAGCTGCTGGGTTAAAGCACTTGGGTGAAATAGTGCTGATTCAGAAGATCACCTCAAACCTAAGCCCCAGGAATGACTACTTCCTTGTACTTTTATGAGGAAAGAGGAGAATTTTGAGGATTTATATACAATATATTCTAATGTTACCTAAAACTGGTCCTTTGCTAACAAGTTCAACTTCAGTTCATTCTGTACCACTGACCAACAATCACCTACTTCTATCCTGTTTCCCTGAAAATAAGACAGTGTCTATATTAATTTTTGCTCCCAAAGATGCGCTAGGTCTTATTTTCAGGGGATGTCTTATTTTTCCATGAAGAAGAATACGGTACACATTTATTGTTAAATGAAAATAAAGGAAATTTATTACCTATATATGGTACGGTAGTACGGTAGTTGTCAACACAAACCAGACAAACTGTGAATCCTACAGTATCAAGAATTTACTCATTTATTCAATGACAATCATGTCATCATCTTCTGGAACATCATCATAACAATCCAATTCCTGAATTTCCTGGTGAATTTCTTGTGACTCCATTTCTTTCAGAATCAGTGGATCAAATCTCTCATGTTTAGCCTAGGGGGGCCTTATTTTTGGGGGGATGCCTTATATTTCACTCAGAAGGAAACCTGTAAGTCAGTCTTATTTTTGGAGGATATCTTATTTTCGGGAAAATCTTATTTTCGGGAAAACACGGTATGTAGATGTCTCATATCTCTACTTTCAGCCAGGACTCATCCATTTGTCCTAAACCCAGCTGCCAATCACAGCTTGGAATTCCATTCTCAAATCAGCTCTTCAGTTCATCTAGATTGAACACTGGCTTCCTGTTCCATTTTCTGCTGATAGTACCACTGCTCAAGGCATCTAGATTAAATCCTTGGTCAACTTGAACTCCAAGTCCATTGCCCTCTACATCTAAACAATATAATATGTTGTTAATTTTCCTTTTAGAACAACTCACAAAGCACTGCCTTCCAACCAATTCTTATGGATAGTAAGTACCCTTTCCCAGTCCCCATTAGATCTCCACAATAGCCATTTGTGGTCCCTAAACTCCCACTCCATTCTAACTCACAAAATTAACTTTCCCCAAATCTGAATTTGTGTATTTTCCTGGCTTAAAATTCTGTCACCTTTCCCCATTATCTGCAGATCCCTCATTGGTCTGTCCCTAATCTACATTTAAATGACATAATTACACATTTGATCCCTCTCCTGCAACTTCCTGCCTCTTGGCTTATCTTACTACTACCACTGGGAACACCTTTCTCTCTCTAGCTTTAAAAATTAGGTACATCCTTTAAGACCTAAGTTCAAGTTCTACCAACTCACTCTGGAGCACTTCCTGGTGGATGCCACCCGACAGCCACCCTCCAGAACACAGGAGATCACTCTACAACATCAGAGCCTTTCTAAAGAAAGGGTGTGTTCTCTCGCTCACCCTCCCGCTTCCCTCCCAGGAAGTTCCTGGGCACTCTATGACTGAATTCCCATTGACAGTCAACCACACAATGACTGCCTGGCAACATCTTCCTAAAATAAGCACACGTTCATTCTTCCACAGAAGCAATACAGTTTATTGTGAACATTGTAGAGAACAAATAGAAGAAAAATAATTTTTTAATTTCTCTTCATTCCACTTTGCAACTCATAACTTTCACCCATGAATCCGTCATCTCTTCTTATGCACATATTGGTGTTTTTATTTAACTTTTGAACAGTTAAACTTCTTATATTTGTCACCTAGTTATCACCCCCAACTAAACCATATTACACTTGACTCTTTTAGAAACATGAATATGCTTCTCTGTAGTCTCCTGACCCAAATGCTTAACATAATTCTATATACAAAGTAGGTGGCTGTTTAAAGCATACGTTCATTCAAAAAAGTGTCTTGAGGGCAGCAGTAACGCTTACCAATGCACTGTCCAAAATAATCCATGTGAAAACCTGCCTACACAGACACGATTTCTTGCAGAGTGCTCCAAAATTTATGTAACAAAGAAGGAAATCATGCTCCTTAACAGAGGGACAAAACCTAAAATCATGAACAGGTTCATTTTTTCCCAAGTTTCCAGGAGACTGTTGTAGAACTCTGACATTTTCATTCAGAATAAAAGACTATTCAATATATGAAATTTGTCAAGCTTCCAACCATTGTTCTATAGTATAGGCAAACAACATAAGTGAAAATAAGTAAATAGAAGATCCTCTATCTAGAAAGTAATGTAAAAAATCCAGTCTACCACTCCAAAGGCCAACTGTTAATTATTATTATTTCACTAATGAGCAACTTAGTAAATTTTTTAAAAAGAGGAAAATTGAGAATGGTTAGACGTTTTCACAACAAAATGACCTCTTTCACATATTTATAATGTGATTCAATTTATGAAAGTTCAACTTGCTAGTTTTTGCTTCCTATGAAAATATACTCTTTAATTCAAAATAATCTCAGTGTTGCCCTGGTCAGGTGGCACGGTTGCTTAGAATGTCCTCCTATTCATCAAAAGGTTGTGGGTTCAAGCCCTGGTCAGAGCAGGTACAGATCGATGTTTCTCTCTCCCTCCCTCTCTAAAATCAATTAAAAAAAACCAAAAAACCCTCGGGCGAGGATTAAAGAAAACAAGCAAACAAAAATACATCTCAATTTATATTTCTTTAACTAGGGTAGCCTTAGAAACAGAAATTTACATTAATTCCTAAATCAGCTTTTTCCATCACTCTTAGGATCTTTTTACGGGCTAACACACCCTTTTAAAGTTCTGAATAAAACTCCAGCAGCTACACATTTCTTGAGTTTTCGACCTCATGGCCATTTGGGCCTTGCTTCCATAGCCCTGTCCTGCACCGTGTGACTAAAGCCCACTGGACACCTGCAGAAAGGCAATGGCACCAAACTTGGGAAAGGTGCTCAACAAGAGTTGGCTGCCTACTCAGCATGGCCAAGGTTTGCCTTTGCAGTCTCATCATTTAATATCATTTCTTCCCAGATTCTGCCTGTCACCAGCATTCAAACACTCTCCTTCTAATCATGTTTAGGAGGGAACTAACTTGGCTGTTCTCCTCCTGCTTTGAGGAAGGCTCAGGTTTTAGGGTTTTGTTTTTTTTTCTTCTTTGAATAAGTCTGTTTCTCAGACCTTCCCCAAATACAAAACGGTCACTGTCCCCTGTTCTTTTCAACGCTAAGGTACAACTTCAAACCGTTTTATCAACCAAGTCAGCGTGTGTTAGAACGTAGGTAAATTTATGGCTGCATTTATGAGACTCAAACTCTAATGCAGCC